GCTTGAGGCTCTGTCTCAAAAAAAAAAAAAAAAAACAACTTGAAATAGACAGAGTTAGAACATTTTGTGTTTAATCTGTTAAACCTGCTACAAGTACTCTAGCTTTGGCTTGGCCCCTGTAACACAGTGGTTACTGTGTCCGCCACATACACCAAAGCTGGCATGTTGGAACCCAGCCTGGGCCTGCCAAACAAGAATGACAACTACAACAACAATAACAAAATAAAAATAGCCAGGCATTGTGGCGGGCACCTGTAGTCCCAGCTCCATGGCAGCATACTGTAGTGAGACTCTGTCTTAAAAAAAAAAAAAAAAAGAACTATAGCTTTGAGGCATTTTCTAAATGAAGTGTGGGGATCCAGGATTTCTTATTTCTTAATCTAAACCTTGTGCTAATAACTGCATAAAACAAATATCAGAAGGGCACATTTCATTGTATAAAGCGCTCATTTCTAAACCTTATTATCTAAGGCAATGTATGGGTTGACAGTTTTTTTTCCAAGCGTTTGCCTTTCTTTCATCAGTCTCACTCTGTTGCCCTGGATAGAGTACCATGGTGTCAGCGTAGCTTACAGCAACCTCAAACTCTTGGGCTTCTAGACACCTACCATAACCCCGTCTAGTTTTTTTTATTTTCAATAGGGATGGGGTCTCACTCTTGCTCAGGCTGGTCTCAAAGTCCTAAATTCAAGCAATCAGCCTGCCTCAGCCTCCCAAAGTGTTATGATTACAAGTGTGAGCCACACGCTTGGCAGGTTGACCGATTTTTAAAAATAGAAGGCAGAGTATTTGTGTGGGGGTTCTACTTACAAATAATCAGACTATAAAATTTAAACATGCAAAGTAGGCTTGCTGGCTATATCTCCGTGGTTAGGGCGCCAGCCACATACGCCGAGGAAGGCACGGTTCAAACCTAGCCAGGGCCTGCTAAACAACAAGGACAACTGCAACAAAAAGTAGCTGGGTGTTGTGGCAGGTGCCTGTAGTCCCAACTACTTGGGAGGCTGAGGCAAGAGAATCGCTTAAGCCTAAGAGTTTGAGGTTGCTGTGAGCTGTGACACAACAGCACTCTACCATAGTGAGACTCTATCTCAAAAAAATAATAAACATGTAAAGTAATCAACAATAATGCTGCATTTGTTTACTAATGATACACTTTATATTGTTCTGTGGGTATACACATAGACACACATACATATGAATTATTGCCCGAAGAATCCTGGAGCTATGCTGCAGACTGATTAGGGCTGAAAGAAGGTCAAAGGGGCTACAGAGAGGTCGGAAAGAATCACCACTTTCTCGACCAGAAAGTTGGACAGGGCCCTGAAGCAAAAGGAAGAATTTTGGGTAAGTGTGACCTAGTTAACCAAGTATGTGCTGTTTCTGTAACATAAGACTCTAGCCTGTGACAAATGACCTCTAGCCACTGAAGTAAAACAATAATGATCCCTGTCACAGGGCAATGCATACCATAATTGCCACAAACAGCATAACACTAACAAACATTGTCTTACTATTACTTGTAAAATAACAGTTAATAATTATTGATACAGAATAAAGAAAATTAGATTGGGCGGCTCCTGTGCCTCAAAGGAGTAAGGCACCGGCTCCATATACCGGAGGTGGCAGGTTCAAACCCAGCCCCGAGCCAAAAACTGCAAAAAAAGAAAATTAGATTTATGTGACAACTAAGGTAATCTACAACCACTGAAACCAAGACAGCATGCCTGAAGGCCTCAGGGGAACCAATGAGAATTTTTATAAATGTAGGAGGAATTGGGATGAAAGTACTTACATTGGTGTATTGCTTTTGTGTGGGGTCTCCTCTCACTCACAAGGGAGACCCTTTTCCACTCTCCTGGAAAAGTCTGTGCTTATCTGTGCTTTGCTTTAAACAAAGTTGTACTTCTTGCTTTGCTATATTGGAGTCCCAGCTGCCTAATTTTCCACTTCCCCAGTTTCTTGCTCTCCCTTTGACTCAGCCAAACTTGCTAGTTTTCCAGGGTGAACCCAACCAAGTCCACTGAACTCCTCTAACACAGACCATAGCTGAAACTGTTGTATTCAGTCAGAAAGAATGTTAACTGTCATGAATATACAAAGTAATTTAGTAGCGAATGTTTTCTTTACCATCTATATGCAAGTATACCCTAAATTCCACTATAGTACATGAAAAGAAAGTAAATGGACATTCCAGAATATAGATGTGATTAGTCTTTTTTTTTTTTTTTTGGCCGGGGCTGGGTTTGAACCCACCACCTTTGGTATATGGGGCCAGTGCCCTACTCCTTTGAGCCACAGGCACTGCCTGATTATATAGTCTTTTTCTTTATTTTTGAGACAGAGGCTCTCTTTGTTGTCCTTGGTAGAATACCACAGAGTCATAGCTCACAGCAACCTCAAACTCTTGGGCTCAAGTGATCCTTTTGCCTCAGCCTTCAGAGTAGCTGGGACTACAGGCACTCACCACTATGCCTGGCTAATTTTAGAGAGCAGGGGTCTCACTCTTGCTCAGGTTGGTCTCAAACCCGTGAGCTCAGGCAATCCACCTGCCTCGGCCTCTTAAAGTGCTAGGATTATAGGCATCAACCACCATGCCTGGCCCCTGATTATATAATCTTAAACAAATTATTAATAAATGATTGATTGCTGAAACTCAGTGATGCATTTGTTACAGACTTTACCTCATCATTTACAGTATGTTTTAGGTGGCAATAAATTTATATGGCAGTAAAAATCACATGCTTCCTGTGGATATTTTATAAGTGCATTTTATATAAAAATCAATTTTTTTCTCTTAAAAAAAAGAAAGCCAGGCAGCGCCTATGGCTTGGTAGAGCGGCCACCCTATATACTAAAGGTGGTGGGTTCAAATCCGGCCCCGCCAAACTGCAACAAAAAAATAGCTGGGTATTGTGGCGGTGCCTGTAGTCCCAGCTACTGGGGAGGCTGAGGGAAGAGAATCGCCTAAGCCCAGGAGTTGGAGGTTGCTGTGAGCTGTGACGCTACAGCACTCTACAGAAGGCGATAAAGAGAGACTCTTGTTGACTACACCAATTGTTGGGTGGTGATTTCTTGCGGGGAGAGAAGGATGGCTTGGCCATGGGTGCAAGCTCACTCCTGGAATTGTATGAAAGCAAGAAACGACTACTACTATGGGTGGTAGTAGCAAAATGTCTTTATTCTCAACATCTTTTTATAGTAATCTAATCATGTACACCACATTGATCAATAATCCTAACATCCTCTATTCTTATCTTAAACTATAGAAAAGACAGAAAGTCAGAGAAAGTAAAATAACCATCTTAAGACTAGCCTCAAGCAAAAGACAGAAGGTCCAGGAAAGTAAGATAATCATCTTAAGACCAGCCTCAAGCTATTCCTCTCAAAAGACCTAAAACAACCCTACATTGTCTGACTTCTATTGTCAAAGTTAAAAGTCAGGACAAATAGGGGAGTAAAACTTTTTTTCTTCCATGTACTCAATTAAGTTTCCAAGAAACAGGCTCAATGACTCCGTTTTCCTGTGGCTTTGGAGGTCCCCCTCCCCATTACAATGGAGTGTTCCTTTACTCACATCAACCTTTGAGTCATGCCCCCTGCACAGACAGGCCATCTCAACCCTTATCTGGCAGGCTGACTGACTTCACAGTCAGGGTTCCATGTAGGAGGCTGTTATGCCGTGACTGCAGGCCTCCGCCATGCTCTCCCAGGTCGCTAGGCTCGATAAAGACACACAATACTCAGGAGTCTTCACTCAGTTTCTGGAATTAAAAGAG